CTTTAAAAAGCAAATATTTTTAAAGATAATAAAATTATCTAAATTGACATCTAAAAGAATGCTGTTCCCTAAACGACATCGTTAGGTTATCATGTTCAAATATGTAAAAGGTTCACTTATTTTAGACCCTTAAATTACAAAGCGAATTGTATCTATGTTAAATGATATTCTTCAGATGTTTACAAGACTTTCAGATATAAAGTAATTCTATTTTGAAATTTGCATCAGATATTCGTTCTTTGATTTCATTTCCTGTTAAAGTCACGTTTTTTCCTTTCTTCTCGAATCAACATTCACTCGTTACTTATATCTATAATTAAGACTATGACGTTAAAATGACACAGATGAAAAGATATGTTGTCCGTATGCATATTAAGTTATATAGAAAATTGTATTAATTTTCAAATATAATTTGATATTCATATCGTATTTTTTCTATTGCAGCCTGTTACAATGAAAGGCTCATCAGATTCTGTAGTTTGTTGTTGCTTGTAAGTATAATAATAACATCAGTTAATTAACAAAGTTCATCCAATGACCTATTTCTTTAACCATCAGAGCATAGTTTGTAACTTCGTTTAGTTATTATTGGACTAGAATATGCTTATGTTCATGCATTGGTAAAAAAAAAACCGAAACACTTTGTTGTTGACTGTTGATTCAAGAATGCCACAAAAGAAATTTTGCTCTAAATGTCATTTTCAAAATAATGCTTGAAACTCCCTCAGGCAAAATTGATCTAAGATGGCTTTTTTTGTTTGGACTTTTGGCCGAAAATGAGGAGATGCAGTATGATTACAAAATGGGACAAGTATCTACCAGAGACCAAAGGACAATGGGTGTAATCAACTATACGGCCTTTAACAATAAGCAAAACCCATACTGCATAGTAGATATAGTGTATTCCAGAAACGTGTTGTGCACATGGAAATCATATCTGTTGTTTTTACCATCAATGGGTCGATACTCCTGCTGATGAACTAAGTTTCCGATACCATCCGCCCATTAGCCAAATTAAAATGATACATTTTGTTTGTTAATTTCAAGATCACAATATTATGTAATTATGCTAAAACTAAGATTTCAACTCCCATGCAGTTTACCTAAGACGGTGATGGCCTTCTATTTAGTATTTAGTCCCTTTTGGTTTTTCTGCTCTTAAAAGCCCATTTTTCCTATCAAAACTTGGTCAGAAGAGTACTTTGATGAATGCAAATCCAGAAAAATGTGCTCTGCGCACGATAATCATGTTTGTCTGTTTCTTTTAACTTTTTAATATTAGTTATTTGACTACGTCCAACGACCAAAAATTCCAAAGTGGCGCGTTGGTTTTTTAACGTTACCATTATATACCAGCAAAAGCAGCTAGACATTTAAATGATTTATTCTAGATAAATTTCGGCGAATACATTTTATGGCAACAAGGAGTAAATATCAAAACATAACGGAACAAAACAGAAGGAGTCGTGAAGTTTTCTCAAGAAGCAACCATTTGATTTAAAGAGGTGTTTTATGAATAAAGAACGTGTGGGGTATACTTTTGTGGAGCTGATATGTAGTTCTGGAAAATACCCCCTTTTGTCTGCCTTTAAGGGGAAAAAATGACTGGAAATGTAATTGCAATTTGCACGAGTAGAACCATGCGAGAGAAAAATGCATTAAACGTTCCAAGAAGATGTCGCAAAATCAAGTTTCGATTTATTTTTTTCAGGTCGCTTGTTATATGATTAAGTTGAGGCTTATGCTTTTTACAGGTAGCCTCATTCAGCTGACCTGACGTTATAAATACTCGTTAGCGCATCTTGTTGTGTAAGTCGTTTATCAAGAAAACTAGTAACCTTTATTTATGTTTTGTAGAATCATCATGGTTTGTTTTACAATGATACACTCGACTCTATCAGTTGAAATTATTGATTCAAACAACGTGGACAATGGAGGTCAACAGGAGTTGGAGTATGATTTACAAGTATTACCATCCAAAAGAGAAAGAAAAATAATGAGATTTTCATCCCTCAGGGAACTGCTGCAAGCATTAAAACCTCGTAGCTGGAGTAACAACTATTTCCGATTATATAAACAATTTTGAAAACATTGTTAAAAATTGCATTTCGCCTCTTAGTTTTCACACGACTTATTTTCTCAATGTAAACAATCTACTATTACTTTATATCATTTATTATGAACTTATCTTTTCCAAATAAAAATTGTAATAACAGCATTCGAAGATTTTATGTCGTTTTTGTTTTACCAACATCAGTTCATGGACTCTGGTGTTGAAAAAAAACGTGCACATCATGCTTTATTTTTTTTCTTAATTTCAATTTAAACAAATTTACGAATATATCAAATATTCTCATGATTCAAACAACCATCGTAAGTGATAGACCATTGATTGAGTATACCATCAAGATTTTCTATGTATTAAATTATTGATTGACTGTTAACTTCCAGTGGCAAAATAGTTCATGTATGTTCATGACGAGAACAAACCAACAATCAATACAATAGGTTGGTTTTGCAAGATATGTCAACCCTTCGGGATGAAGATGGAAATTTGGAAAACCACTGGTAAATGAGTGTGGGGAAAGTGGGGCAGATATTTTTCCTTGTTACAGACCAGTTTTTTTCAAGAATTCTTTCACGTGCAGAGAGCGTGACACTCTTCCTGCACAAAACATTAGATTAAACTTCCACAGTCTGACCAGACGCCGTGTATTAGTTAGAATTTTACTGCTGGAAGTGAGAAGTCCAGGGATGACCATATTTCTATCAGTTAACACTGAACACTTTAAATTTGCAAAACACTCATTTGCAAATCCGCCGCCACACTTCCTTAAAGATATGGGGTCGTGTAAATAACCAAAATTTGCAGAATAACATGGGATTCATTAAATACAAAGTTTTAAACCTCTAGACTATAACGTTCTTTTGCATTTTGAATTTAAAAAACATGGGATTTTATAATTGTTGTTTAAATCAAATAAAATATATTGGCAAACTCGCTTCTGATGTATTTCATGATGGTTCAATAAAATAATCTTACTGTTCTGTACAAGGTCTACAGGTACATGTGTATAAAACAAAATTAATGTTCTTTAATGTGAGCAACACCTCCCCCAATTACCAAACCTTTAAAAAATCTTTTGATTCCAACAGATACTCAGTAAGTGGGACCTTCTGAGAAATTCAATGCAGATTTTTGAATATTTAAAATTTAACTGTCGAGAGGGGATAAATATCATATTGCATGAGATTTGTGGTGGAATTTGTTTCTCTAATGATTTTTAGACGATTTGCAGACAATCTTAATCCTCCTCTTCGAATGACTTGCAGAAAGATGTGTTCTTTCTATGTGACGTCATCAGACATGGTCGCCTTTTTTCATGACGTCACAATAGGAATTTCAGAGGAAAGCAAGAAAATTTGACGTTGAATTTTGACCAATGAATAATTGAGATCAAACGAACCACACTTTGATTAAATAAAAATAACCAACAGGTCAGGAAAAGGATAAATCGGGTAAGAATTAGAGAAAAAGAATTTTATAATGAAAGGTCCTTTTCTAGTAGAGAGCTCTATACATGTAGAAAAAAATATTATGCATAATACAAACACAAACTACCTTCTTACTGACAAAAATAAAAAATATGCTAATTTCTTTGGTCATTGGACGTAAATTTTGTTCAACTTATTTTAAGACTTTTTTGTGAAAAATAACCCAGTAATTGAATGAAACTAGTTAAAAATAGAGGAAACATACAAATGCAACCATTACAATCTAAACTATATAGCTATATTCCTTTCAAATTGCGGCACACTTTTTCATCAAATTCATTCATTTAATATGATAGATAATTTTTTTTCATTTTCAATTAGTACATTGCATAGTTCAAAAGAAGATTTTTCTACATAATTCTCAGAGCCCCCTAACTCAAGACATATTCCAGCAGTAATAATGGTTGGGTGATTGGAAATTATGTACATTCAACATCTGTAAGTTAAAAAGCATGGACATTTCATTCATTTTTGATTTCCACTGGTGAACTAACCCTCAAAAAGACTTTCCAAAATTTGATCTGTAGGTTCCAATGTGAAAGTTTCCTTCTGGTTACTATTGACCAGCTGATCAGCATCAAAGTAACTATACCTTACAATTTGCTTTTAGAACAACATATTTTCATAATATTAATATAACTTAAAACTAAATGCTCTATTCTAAGATGACATTCTCCTTTCACTTTGGAAACAAAGCCATGTTCTAAATCCAAAAGAACATGGGCTGCATGTGATTGACTTACAATTTAAAAAAAATGCAACATCAGTTGTATTTTGAACAACACCCTGAGATTAAAAAGGACATTTGTGTTGATGTTGTTCCCTAGGAAATTAAATAAAATCATTCTAAAAGTAAGTTTACATATATCTGTTCATTTTTCATTGTGAAACAATTTTCTACAACGTTGTGGCTTCATCAAATCAAAATGGCTGTCTTTCAAACGTGTATTATAGGTCTGCTTCAAAGTACAAAAGTTCTAAATTTTCCTATTAAATTCGAAATAATTCTATCATGCCATGCTCTATGCTCATTTTAACATGGGTAGGCATTATATTTGTCAATATGTTTATACCGAGCTTCAGCGAAGTATTTTTTAAAATGTTGACAAATATAATGCCTACCCATGTTAAAATGAGAGTAGAGCATGGCATGAAAGAACTATTTCTTAAATGAAAAAAAAAAGTCTCTTGCTGGTAACCATATTTGTTGGATGTGGTGCACTAGTTCTGAAGGATAGATTTGTCATCAAATTAGTCAGAACTTATGACAATACTTTCTTATATCAGGAATATTTCTGCCAAATTTGGTCTCATTTTCATCAGTCATTTGGGAAATTTTTACAATGTTTACAATTGATGGACAACAAGTAATGAAATATACTGCTTTGGCTTAAAATGATAGGGATGAACAATGAATAGCAAATGATAATAAAAGTTCAAACTGGTTAAAATGATATGAAATAATTTATAATACATTTTAAGTAAAATTACAACAAAGGTTTTCTTGAATTAAACACTTTGACACCATTCTGCATAGATGACCTGGCATACTTAGTCAACAGTCCCCCAACATCTAATTTTTCTGTAGTTAGATCTCTGAAAAAACAGATTTAAAACAATATTTTATTAGGCTTCTATTAAACTATCCACTCAAGTTACTTGTCTTACTTAATAATAGCTCAAAGATTGACCAAACAATGCAAATTCCATGTTTCCAATGTGACACATAAAAAGGCTGGTAGTACATTATCAATTTGTTATTTAAATAACCAAATAAAACATGCATGTATATAATTGTGATGCAATAATTCAGCAGATAACTTTCTTCACCAAGTAACATGGTGGAGAAAACATGAATATCATTTTTAAACCATAGGTACATACATAGGAGCCTGAATTGCTTACACAACAAATATATGCCAAATTGATCTTTATCTTTAACAGTATTTCCAGTACATCCAAGTGAAACCAAGACCAATACTCTTTTTCAGTGCCAGGATTATACTTGTAATTTTCATAAATTTTAGGAAAAAAACACCTTTACAAAATCTACTAGGCCACCCCAATCAAATGGTTGTTTCCTAAATAGAAATCGCAAGGTAAATGTCCACTGAAACGATTATGTTTACCAATTTTGCTGAATAAAATTTTTCTCTGTCTATAATTGTCTTTGATTAAATATTCAAAACGCTTCATTGTCTTCAATTAAAAATTCAAAATGCTAAAAAGTCATAAATATTATAATTAAAGGGCAGAAATTGTCTGAGAAATTTGGCATATGAAGTTTTTTGCTTGATCAAAAATAATATTTTAAGGAAAAGTAACTCTTGTAATAAGTCAATTGATGGTTTCAGTCTAATTACATTTTTTTCTTTAAATCTTGTACTGCTGATCATTTTTGCTGTTTACAATTCCTTCCATCTATAATAGTTTTCAAGATGATAGTTCAGGGACAATAACAAACTAGAGGCTCTAAAGAACCTGTGTCGCTCACCTGTCTATGTGCATAATCAACAATGAACTCTCTCCAACATTGTAGACAAGAATAGAATTCATGACAAAAATTTCTTTTGTGTTGATCTTGTATTTCTGATCATTTGGTCTGTTAAGTTTCTCTCTATCTTCTTTAGTTTTTGCTCAAAACACAAAAGAGGGTAAAACAAATCCTCATTTAAGGGCAATCATTCCTATGAAGAGTGGGAATCATGTAAGGCAAAACGTAAAAACAAATTGATAAAAACTGTCATTAAAGGGCAATAACTCTAATAAGGAGTTGTCGGAAAATTTCCTCCATATTGTCTGAAATGTAAAATTATGTCTTGCTAATCATTTTTGCTTATTTAAGTTTCTATCTATCTATTATAATTTTTAAGACACACGGCAAAAATACAAAAAATTGGTAAAAATCGTCATCAAAGGGCAATAACTCTAATTAGGAGTCAACTGACGATTTAGACAATGCATTCTTCTTCGTAGATTTTGTCTTGCTGATCATTTTTGCAACGTAAATTTTCTCTGTATCTATTCAAGTTTTCAAAATAAAAGGCAAAAATGAAAAAAAAGGTAAAATTTGTCTTTTAAGGGCAATTAACTCCTATAACAAGTTGTCTGACAGTTTTGAAGTCAATGAACAATTGGTAGAGCTCAACATTCTGAACATTTCTGCCCTTGTCTGATTTTCTCTATTAATTATGATTTTAAAAATAATAGACAAAACTTGCATTTTAACCCTATGTTCTATTTTTAGCTATGTTGTCCATCTTGATTGGCAGGCAGGGTCATTTGACACACTTTTTAAACTAGATACCCTAATGATGATTGTGGCCAAGTTTGGTTAAATATAGTCCAGTAGTCCCCTATGGGCCAGGTGAGCTAAAAATGAGTTCAAATTTTCTTTCATGGGCAATAACTCCTACAGGGGGATGAATAGACAATTTTAGCCATATTGACATTTGACCCATTTGAAATCAGAGGAAAAGGTTTTTTAAAGGTTAACAACAAATGAGGGATAGACAACAAAAGACAGCAGTTGATGCCAGGTGATGCCATGTGGAAACAATAACTACACCATTAAGACACTAATTTAATACTATGAACACATGACAAGGAATTTGTGCAAATTGTAGCCTTTATAATTACTGACCTGATATAGGGGGATATTTCTTCTAATGACCACTTTTCTTTTGTTCTAAATAGCTCATCAAATCTACAGTAAAAAGAATAAGTAAATAAATCAAACTTTCAAACCAAGGTGATACCAATCTTTCCATGTGCAGCATGGTATGACCAGAGAAAGTCAAGAAGAACTCCTTTAGAAACCAATACAATCTATTAGTTCTTTCAATATTTCAGAAGCTTATTTTGAGTTTGATTCTTGTTGTGTCTATTAACTGCTGGTAAATCTTTTTGTTTATGTACTGATTGAGTTTTCAAGTAGTATAAGAGCTTGAGCTTAATTCTTTGGTCAACATAACTAGATTTTGATCTATAGGGTCTATATCATTCATATTGGTTCTTTCCTATTTAAAGATATAAAAATCTTGCAAAAAACTGAAAATCTGACAGATAGTCATGGAATTTACTTCTGAACTCTGTTGAATGTAATTTGTGATATTGACTTTGAAAATAAATTATGTACCTTTCTCCAACCTCCTCAGGAAGATCATCAACAGAATAATAAGTAATTGTCTCCAGCTGACTACTTCTGTCTATTAAAGCCATACCCTGGAAAGCATTACATAAGTAAATGACTGTGGTTACATCAATCAATACCTTACTTTGATGATCAAACTACAATAGCTTTGTGGCTGCTAAATGACCAGTTTCTAACCCCAATGGTACCATATAAAGAAAATATGAAACCTTCTGTGGTTTTAATCTCAATTTCATTAATGTTTTGTTTTCTTTAAAGAAAGCATGTGTATTACTGATATCAAAAACTCCATTAGAAATTGATTAACATATCATTTTACATATTTACTTCCTATAATAGACTAATCATAAAAGTACATGTGAAAAATGTTTCATGCTGTTCTTAAATCATTTATTTTTATGTTGGCAAACTTTCACAATACAATCCATATTTCTAAGGCCAGAGACTTAAACAATATTTTTTTTGGTCAAAGCTGGACAGCAAAAAAAGTTGGAGTATGTCAGTAGGTGATTTAAAAAAAAAATAAAAATTCAAACATTGTGGAACTAGATAACAGAAAGAAAATAAGCACAAGGTTAAAAGATTAAGCTTAAATTTTGTATCAAATATCAAGAAATTAGATTTGTTGCTGGTGAGAAAAATACAACAAAGTTTCTTAATCATTATATATGCATCAATGTTAAGAACATACATGTATTGGGTTAACAGGAAGTTGACAAGTGAGGGATCTGAAAATGTGTCGCACGGTATAGCTTACCAATATGAAACTTGGCAACAAATATTTGTAGTTGCAGACAAACATGCAACAAACTGTTATAAGGACAGACAGAGGTAAACCAGTATACCTCCGTTAAATTTTAAAATATAAGAATATTAAAACTTAAGTAAAATAAAAGAACAGAGTTCCAATGTCCCCCACGTTGCACATATTTTATATTTCCAAATTGCATAACTCTTTTTAAAATTGTCAATCTTCCACCATTATAAAACTTGTAAGAGATATTGCTGATATTAACCTATAGTATAAGTTTTATAAAAATCTGGCAAGAATTGTACCTGTGAGAGCGCTAACGAGGCTATTTTCTGTAAATTTAATATTTCCAAGGGGCATAACTCTTTTAAAAAAAGTCGATCGTCCACCATTATAAAACTTGTCCAAGATATTGCTGATATTTACCTATAGTATAAGTTTTATAAAAATCTGGCAAGAATTGTATCCGTGAGAGCGCTAATGAGGCCGTTTTCCATAAATTTAATATTTCCAAGGAGCATCGGACACCGGTGATTACCAGCAGCCTATATTGTGCAAATGTTTTTATCACTATGCACTTTTTGCACTAAATATCCAGGGAGAATATTCAGTAAAAGTAACAATAAATAACATTGGTATAAATATCTGAATACAGAAATTACTGTTACAAACAGTCTTTACTAATACAAAATTAGTATATTATTTATATTTATAATAATATCTGTAATATTACAATATCTGTAATTACACAAGTTTGTAAGTATTTTTACAGAAATTATTCGTTACTCCGGAATGTTTTTTTTTAATACTATCTCTAATGTATCAGACACGAAATATGGTCAGTGACCTCGCACAATTTTTCAATCCGCAAGTTCGGATATATACTTTTGTGTATTACAACTTATTGAATAAATTTGTTATTTGATTTGACCCAAATAAATATTGTGCCATGACCTTTACCTATCAAATGTTTGTAAACATTTAAAACAATATATAACGTACATGTGGTACATAGTACAGTACCAATATATTCAAATATCACACACACCCCTACATATACCAATACATCTGATGTACACACAGAAACATACTTAGGTACATACATACTTTTGCAACTACAACATCACATGCATATGCATTCAGCTACATATAACAAAAATACATTCTGTAGCTTTATTAATAGTACCAGCTCAATTTTACAAAATTACATCAATTTCTGCTCAGAGTATAGAGCACTTTTGTTAGTAAACTAATTGATACATACATTTCATACTGTTTTGTTTTTGTACTCATTTCTTCATATCATAGGTGAATTATTAAAGCATATTTTTTTGGAACAAATTTATACCCAAAACTCAAACACACACACACCCAAAGTACATCACATGCATTAACACATTAATTGACACCCTCTGGTTTTTTTCACTAGTAGCTCAATACCATAAAATGACACCAATTTTTTCTCAAAATATTCAACACCTTTGTTAATAAGCAGCTTATCTCTATATTTGCCATACTATATAATTCTACTATATTTTTTACTTCATATTTGAAAATTCTTAATGTGTCTACCATTTTAGCCTTTTGATTAGAAACATAATAAGCTTTATAAACTGAAAAGAACATTAAGCTAAGCAGATGATTTAGTGTATAGTATGCATCATCATGAATTTTGTATCCTATTACAAGAGAATGGAGACTTATTACATGTTTGTCAATGCAGACTTTTTCATTTCTTAACAGATTTCAATAAAAAAAAAAATGTATTTAAAGTAAGGTTTACATCAACAATATCTCAATCAACAGAAAAGGTCTTGTGAAAAATTTGTAAGTGTTGTCCCTTGAATTCATGAATGTGAAAACTGCCTTGTTTGTGCTATCATCCTTAAAACACTTAAACATGTTAAATGGATTTTTATAAAATAGATATGAAGTTTTATATTACCAACATCTTATTGAGTTCCATATGGAAGCTGAATGAAAATTTTCATGGTAGAAATGGCCCTGAGAATGTACATTTTGTAAAAAAAATTCCTTGTAATAGCTCTCGGGTTTACAATAAAAGTTGATCATAGTGATTTTTTTTCATTCAAAGATTTAATGGAGTTATTACACATCATTTGGAGAATTTAATTGCAAGAACTACATGTACTTTTTTCTGCCATAAATTAAGTAACATTTACTTCATCAATGGTCAAGGGACATTTGACACTGTTCATTTATTTTACAATTTGGTCATTTTTTTGTAATTTTTTTTTTAAATACAGTTTATTTTAACTATCTTCCTAAAAGATATTTGAAAAAAAAACATCAACATATTTAGAAAAAAACTAGATATAAATACAAGGAGATGTGGTATGATTGCCAATGAGACAACTATCCACCAGAGTTTAAATGACGAAGATAAAAGCAGTTATAGGTCACTGTACGGCCTTGAAGAATGAAAAAAAACTTGTACAGTTTATGTTGATGTCAAGGTTGCCAAGTCTCATGCTTATTCAATAGTTACACACTGTTAACATGGCATTTTGTTAAACACAGCATGTACACTTGTTCCAAGCATTTACATGTAAACATACACAGTCTTGCATGTTCTTGTTCCCTGTTATGTAACAAGTACTTGGATTTAAGTTCTATTTCTATGCCCAGGATTTCTTCACCAATTTGTTAAAGGATGGTTTCCACAAAAACATTTACAAAATTGTTTTCTGGAAAATTATTACATGTAGTGATAGTTTCCTGGACCTTAATTTACGGTAGACTGGTAGCCCATAAAACTTTCTTTGCTGAGAATAAATCAAAGCACTGTGAGTGCTGTGGGCAGTTAACCAAGACAAAAGTAAAGATGGAAATTATGTGGTTTAATTATTTATCACAGATTGTCATATCTCAAGTATCAACATTTTTCTGTACTGTACTGTTTTCCACTTTCCACAACAACTATACCATTTGTTTTCAGAGGTCAATTACCAGATTTTAAGTAACTTTAAAATATGTATACTTTTTAAAAGATTCAATGTCTGAGAAGATGTATGTATATGTATGCATGTCTCCATTGAATTCATTGGAAAAAAAGCAAACGCATCTATCAAGGGACTTTATGAAAAGGTGGTTTAGTGAGTTTAATGGGAAGGTTCAATCATACGATACATTTTTTTCCCACAAAATATTACTGGTATATAGAATGCTAATATGGATATGAACGTTGGTGTGTTAATGATTATGAACCTTGCTTTAATTGTTTCGCCTGCTTTACTAATCATGATTTATTTTATGTTGATAATCTTAAAGATGAAGTTTTACTTAGTCTACAAGTATCACATTAACTTGACATTATCAATAATCCATGAAAATAAGGTCATGGTCAGATTAACCAAGCCAGACAGACATGTATACCTTACAATCATTACATACATTTGTACACCAAATATTGTTGACATACTGCTTATAGTATACAAGAAACAGACCAAACCATGAAAACTTCATATTGACCAATGAACCATGAAAATGAGGTCAAGGTAAGATGGACCCTGTCAGACAGACATGTACACTTTACAACCATTCCATACACCAAATTAATATAGCTGACTTATTGTGTATAGTATCTTAAAAAAGGAGCTTACTACTGAAACTTAACTTTGACCAATGTGCCATGAAAATGAGATCAAGGACAGGTGATACCAGTCAGACATTACACCTTACAATCATTTCATACACCAAAATAAAGATGACCTATTGCTTATTGTTTTAGAAAAATAAAACATTGACCAATGAACCGTGAAAATGAGGTCAAGGTCTGGCGAATCCTGGCAGACTGACATGTACACTTTACAGTCATTCCATACACCAAATATAATTGGTCTTACGTATACAGTATCTGAGAAACTGACCTACTCATGTAACTTTAACCTTGATCACTGATCCATGAAAGGAGGACAAAGTCAGCTGCACCCTGTCTGACAGACATGTAGATCTTGCAAGAAACACATATACCAAATTTAATTATCCTTTTACTCATACAGTACTGTAATAATTGAGAAATTCACATCACAAAAAAACTTTTAAAAAAATTGAAGCAGTCGCTGAACCATGAAAATGAGGTCAAGGACAATGGACATATGACAGACAGAAACTTCATAACATAAAGCATCTGTATGCAACGCATGAAGCCTCCAGTCACTACCCTCTGAAATATAAAGATGAATACAAATAGTTTACGCCGCCACCAGATTGTACTCCCTATGTCTCGCATTCTGAGACTTTCGTCACAGGCGAGACAAAAATGGTTAACTCTGACATTTTGCAGAGCTGTTGAAATCTTTTGGGGTCTGACAGACTCTTTGAGGTTTTGCCACTTTATTTATTTTATATAAACTGAGCATTTCAGTAAGTCATGTTCTCGTATGCATTGTTGAAGTCTTTCTAAATATTACAATATACTAGATAAAGGCAAATACAAAAAAATACTGGACTCCAAGGGAAATGTCTAGAAGAATAGACAAGTCAGTATCCACAAAGTCAAGAATTCCTCAATGCAATCAACAAACAGAATAAATGTCACATCTCCGACTTGTACAGGCTTTAAAAAATAATGATGGTTAAAACAGGGATTTGTGATTCACATGTGTTGCCTTTTCTCACCTTTAACCCTTTTTCATACTAAAACAGGAACACTTACACACATCCTAATCACCAACACAAGAAATGGTTCAAGTCATTGAGTCATAAAAATAAACCAACTGCAACTTCAAAGCATTATACATTTTTTGTTCATGCTATAAGTTTAAAATTTATAGAATGAATGGGACAGATAAATTTTGCTGTTGATTTCTCACTTTCAGAGAATGAATTCTTAATTCTCATCTGTTTTAAATCAATGCATGGCATAGCTGTTTAAAGATAATAATAAAGTAGAGAATAAACAACATGCAATGTGCCATTCCATTTAATATCTGAAATGGAGTGGGTGGTTACCTTATCAAAGACCCCAATTAAGCAAATTTTCAGGCAAATTTCCATGAATCCCTCAGATGCTTGGCTTTTAACCCCTGATGCCAAATTGTATCATTGACCCCTCATTTTTACATATTTAAACAAGAAAAGACTTCTCAGAAACAAAAAAAAAGGGTACCCCTCAGATATATTGTGAGCCAATCGGTGTCCATAAGAAATGACTTTTGATACCCCTCAGAGAAAACCTCCACCCCCTTCTCGGATTTTAAATGGAATGGTCCAATAAAGGAGGACTAATGAATCATTTGAAAAAATAATTCAGTACGGAATGTTTTATGAATCGTAACCAAAAATTATTCGGACAGCCAGATGACCTGGGTCAAACAGCAAATGTCATTTACAAGTCTTTAATTACTCAACAAAAACACCGGTAGAAAAATAGTCTTGCACAGTTATTTTTTAATTTGTGACGACTTGTATCCAAATATAAACACTTGCCACAATGTAGATCTAGGCCCCTCTATTGACCGACAAGTTATAAGGAAAAGACATTTAAGATGATGAAATCCTTATATGATGCTCCAACTTTGGTATCATTATTGTTTCCTTATTTAAAACTTAATTTCATTGTAATATTATGTGTTGAAGAGACATTCAAGAGCACTGATACCCGGATTGCTTTTCGTCTTCAACTTAAATTTACCACCATACAATATTTATGCGCATATTGCCATTTGACAAATATAAATGGACTGTAAATAGAAAGTTTCGGTGATGAAATATTTCATACAATTGTTTTTTAACATCCTTATCAAAAGTACAGAAAATATAAAAGAATGTAAGACTTTCCATTGAGCACTATTTAATATATGCAACGTCACTTATTTTGGGTTGTTAGACAATCATTTAAGGTAATTCTCGAGATATATTTGTTTTTCCCGAATTAAAAGCATAAAAAAATGTCCAATTAGTTATAAATAACCTACAAGTACTCTAGATAAAGGCAATGACACCAATTTCAGTATTCCTGAGGAACAAAAGCAAATCTGGTGTGCTAGCATAGGGCAGCTTAACTGCTCAAAAAACCATGTCACATGATTTTACAGGCTGTTTTGCATACCTATCATATCAGGACATAATTTCTCATTGCTGTAGGTTGACAACTATGAAATATCCATTGGTATATATCAAAACTGGGCATTTTCAGTTTTTCTTGGGAGTTTCAAAGCAAATTTGTTTGATGAAATCTGAAAACATCCAAACTGATACCTTGTAGACAATGTTTGTATGAAACACAAAAGAATTCTGCAGGTCACGTCACCTTAAAAATACAGCTGTTTTGTCAGTCATTCACTCATGACCTTTTCATCAAATCACAGAAAGTAATTGTAATGATAGCTGACCACTCCTTCCATCCTTATATGAATAACTAATATTACTAACCTGTAGTTGTTGATCCATTGTCTGCATACCTGAAGGAACTGTTTGCTGCCAAGTATTGCTAAAATCTTCATAGTTGAACTAGTGAAAATAGTAATACATGTACTATAATTTTACACAAAGAAACATTTCTTTTCCCTAAATTACATCTTAATTCAAGTAACAAAAAACCTTATATTAAAGGTATTGGTAACCCATTGTTCACAGGGTCATAATTCAGATTCTGCATATTTTGTTGTTGACTTTTGTTGCATATTTAATAAATATATTCATTATAACAATTGTTTAATGTTTATAAAAAAGGAAATACAAGAACATTTTACCATACCTTTCCTCTTGAATGTTTAAGAATTTGCTCTGCGAAAAAACGGCAAACTTTGTCCTCATTCAGATAATAAAAATCCACATCTGAAAGGGAAGACAAAAATAAATGATTATGATTTGTTTTGTTTTTGACAGAACATGACAGTAAGCAGAGTAGTTGAAATATATTTTATTCCTGCAACACTTCTGAAAGTGCCCTGTAATTATTAAAGCTCACACACTTTTGTAAATGCAGCAAAATTGCATCATTATAATAATAGAGATGTGGTATGATTGCCAATGAGACAACTATACATCCTAGACTAATTATATATGACAAGGATGTTAAGTATTATCATTACTTTAAATATGACTGCTCTTATTATTTTTTTTCAAGGCATTTGCTGAAACAGTAAAAAAAAATCATGCACTGGGTTTTACCTATTCTTCTATTAAATGTCATCAGGGATTCCTCTGGCCGTCTCCATTATGGCATTTTGCAGTAAACAGCTGCGCCATGAGCGCATGATACGCCCGTCGTCTTGTGTGTGAATTTTTATGCAATAAGCATAAATAGTTTCTGACATACGGCGTGACATGCGAAAACCCCCTTTTTTTTTTACAAAAAACTCAATATCTCTAAAATAAAATTTTGAATCAAAACCAAAAAGTATACAGATCTTTAGATTAATATAACTAAGAAGTGTGTAAAATTTAAAGCAATAATCATAAATCGTTTTTTGAGATACGGCGCGACATGTGAAAACCCCCCCTTTAAAAAAAAAATCAATATCTCAAAAATTAAATTTTAAATCAAAACCAAAAAGTATACAGATCTTAAGATTAATATAACTAAGAAGTGTGTAAAATTTTAAGCAATAATCATAAATCGTTTTTGAGATACGGCGCGACATGTGAAAAACCCCTCCCCCTTTTTTTACAAAATACTCAATATCTCTAAAATAAAATTTTGAATCATCACCAAAAAGTATACAGATCTTAAGATTAATATAACTAAGAAGTGTGTAAAGTTTTAAGCAATAATCATAAATTGTTTTTGAGATACGGTGCGACATGTGAAAAAAAACACACACCTGTTTTAGTTTCTAAGTCCCGTAACTCAAAAAGTTTTAATCTTATTTTCACCAAAAAGTATACAGATCGTTTGACCATCATAAAAAACAACTATGTTTAGTTTCATGAAATTTGGATAAGTCATTTTTAAGTTACGGTGCGACATGTTTACGCCGGACAGACAGACGGACACCGGACATTTGTATACCATAATACGTCCCGTCAAAAATTGACGGGTGTATAAAAATTGTGGCAAAGTTTTCTTTTTTATAGGCAAAAGTTTTTTGCAGAAGAGTTTTAACCATTCAATATCGTTCATCTTGTTCAATCTTTTGGGTTTCTCCTACTTTTTCCTTATCAGTCAGCTTTTTAACCTTGAACTTGTCACAAGATCTTGACAGAAAAGCAATAATTAACTGATTGGAAAAAAGGAGAAGAATTTGATAGCAATCAACAACTTATCAATAAAAGGTGTTAATTGAATTGTTAAATAAAATTGTGTGAGCTAATAGGCTTCCCATGTCACTTAATTATTGACATAAGAGCACTTACAATGCAATTTTCAATATAATTAATATATCCATGGGCACAACTTGGTGCTAACCAACTCTTTTAAAATAGTTGATCAGCACTGATTTTCTAACTTGTCCGACACATAGCTGGTATAAACCTTTGATATAAATTTCATAAAAATCTGAAATAAGTTATACATGCAAGAGCGCTTACTATGCAATTTTCCATACAATTAATATTTCCAAGGGGCATAACTCTTTAAAAATAGTTGATCAACATTGACTTTTGAACTTATTTAAGACATTGCTGTCAGATATAAACCATTGATATAAATTTCATAATGATCTGGCAAAAATAATTATACATGTGAGAGTGCTAACAAGACCTGACAAAAGCCTAGTATTTCTATGTCCCCCAAACATGTTGCATGGGGGGACAATTACTGTTCCAATTTAGTGTTCACTTATCAAAATGTTGATTATAAATTAGATGTGTGGGATTTATGTACACTGGAACTCCATATTACATGTTATATTAGAACCCAAATTGACATGAGACAATGTGGCTGCAAATTGAAATTTAGTTTGCTGTTAAATGGTACCTATTCTTTTGAACATTGTAAGTTGAAAGTCCAATTAGTATACAGGTATATGTTGTGTACAAATTGTAATGTTGTACAAATCAAAATTTTTGAATGTTTTTTTTTGTGCAAGTTAAAACCAGAATTTTGTGAACCTATATATATGAAGTATATATATTTGTGAATAAAACTTCAAGCTGGTTAATTATTAGATAAACTTGTATCACTAATGAAAGAGGGTGTGTGCCAAGTTATTGATAACTTGTACAAAAACAAGAATGTGTGTCCATAGTACACAGATGCCCCACTCACACTATCATTTTCTATGTTCAGTGGACCGTGAATTTGGGTCAAAACTCTAATTTGGCATTAAAATTAGAAAGATCAAATCATAGGGAACATGTGTACTAAGTTTCAAGTTGATTGGACTTCAACTTCATCAAAAACTACCTTGACCAAAAACTTTAACCTGAAGTGGGACAGAAGGACGAACAGATGCACAGACCGAAAAACATAATGCCCCTAGGTGGGGCATAAAAACCTCTACAAATTATAATTTGTACAAAGTTACAACTTGTACACGACATATGCATATATTAATAAAGTCAACATTGTTCAGCCATAGGGATATCACACTTAATCCCAGCCTGAAAAAATTGGTGTAAAATTTACCAATTTCCATTTTATCTTCATCATCTTCTGTGTTAGATGGTTTAGCTTTGTCTGCATAACTCTGTAAAACATGGTCTAACACCTCTCTAAAATTGAAAGCAAAATTTAACACTAATTGTTCTTATGAATAAGAGGAAATATGGGAGTATACAGCAGTCATCAGTGAGACAACAACCTAACAACATACAATCAGAAAAAATGTCTCAATGTCAACATTTGGTCTTCAACAAAAAAACAGTGTCTAAATAGCCCATGTGAATGAATTTGACAAGACACTTTCAAACCATTTCCTAAAACATCATAAACTTTTTAGGAAAACAATAAATTAAACAATTGTTGTCTCAGAATCAGTCTTATTAAGAAAGGGCTAAGTTTAGATTTTTTTATCCTACAATATTTTGGAAAATGTTAGTACCCAGCTACAGGATAGTAGTAGTAACCACCACCTATGTATAGCAGGGTGTTAATAAGCAAACAGTAATTGGGGTTATACCACATACATGAATATACATAGGAGTGTCTAAGGTTTTTTTTACCATGATCATCAATGTAAGATCTTTCTCCATGAAAGGACACACCTTCTAGTAGTGGTGAAAAATCACACCACATTTGTTTCCTGAACTTCAAATTGTTTCAAAGTTAGAGAGCAGAAACAATTCTTGTACATATACAAAGGGGTGGCTAAGTTGAGCTAAGTATTTTACCATGACTTTCAGTGAACAGTTTCTTCCTTGTAAACAAGACACCTTCTGTTAGTGGTGAATAATCATGTCAAGTTTCATCACTGAACTCCAAGAACTTTATAAGTTTGACAGGGGAAACAATTAATGACGGGCAAGATATTTACTATAGACCTTGTTCCGATTAATTGTTTGGGCCCTTAAAAACACATATCAAAAACTCTCCATATGCAACATTTGAATCTGATAACTCAATATATAATTCAAGATGAAGTCAACTTAAACTGTAATACCTAGGAAACAGTTCCACTAATGTCTTCATACACTCTTCATAAGGCATCCCAGACTTTATCCAATCATTCTCATCACACAGCTGTATCACATGACTTAATACCAACGATAAAAACTGGAAGTCAAGTATTCTCCAATACCCTATAAATAGGAAATATATCATTATCTGATTATTTCAAATTTTGTTCATTTTTTGATGCAGCAGATTAACAAAAATACAAGAGGCTATTAAATTGACAGCAAACCTTGTGTTTCCTACATTTATAGTGTCATTGTTAAAGCAATCAAGGGACTGATAACAAATACAGGAACAAGACAATTCATATAGACTGTGACATATTGACAAAACATTTTGTATACTACTTTATATATAAGTAAAATACTCAGTAAGGGGAGGCAACTAATCTTTTCTTGAGTGGATAAATTTTGAAACAATTCTTAAGCTTTGATTGCAATTATAAGGGAACATTCAACTATATAGCTAAACACCAATTTGAAAAGTAGTGTTTAAATAATTCACAATTGTTGATAATTTGCTTTAGACCAACTGATTAGCAATGTAACTGTATCACATCTCTAAAATCAACTTTGTCGATATACTTTCAGGTGGATATATCCACGTATCGAGCTCATACAAAGGCTATAATTGTATAATGTAAAATAAGGAGATGTGGTATGATTGCCTATGAGACAACTATCCAAAAGAGTCCAAATGATGCAGATTTAAGCAATTATAGGTCACCAAAAGGCCTGCTATACTCATAAATATTTTCATTAAGCTTATAAAATCTTACCTTCAAGCTTACAAGCCTGAACTTTCGTGAGTGCTGTTTGTAGCTCCAATCTACTGGCTTGAACCAAGTTCAGTAGGTCATCATAAGTGTACTTCAAAAGAATGATAACTTTAGAAATAATACAATAATAGCACCCCCAAAAATATTAGTCAAAAATTGTGTTAATATACTACAATTAATAAGATTTAAAACATTTATAGTTTTTAGTATTCTTAAGAATTGTTTCAATCTTTGCAGTCATAAATATTTGATTTATAATGTACATTATATAATTGATTCTTATTCCAACTCTTACTCTACAATGATACACAACCAACCCCAGATTTTTTTTTTAATTGGATATATTCTCTACAAAATGTCTAACCACTTTGACCATAATTTTCTTCTGGAATCATGCTGCTAAACAGATGGAACCATACTGCTAAACAGATGGAATCATACCACTAATCAGATGGAATCATACTGCTAAACAGATGGAAGCATACTAAACAGATGGAATCATACTTTTAAACAGATGGATTCATACTGCTAAACAGAGGGAATCATACCACTAGTCAGATGGAATCATACTGCTAAAAAGATGGAAGCATACTAAGCAGATAGATTCATACTGCTAAACAGAGGAAATCTAAGGCTTAACAGATGGAATCTTAGGCTAAACAGATAGAATCATACTGCTAAACCAATGGAATCATACTGCCCAACAGATAGAAACATACTGCTAAACAGATGAAATGATACTACTAAACAGAGGGAATGATATTGCTAAACAAGTGGAAGCATACTAAATATATAGATTCATACTGCTAAACAGAGAGAATTTAAGGCTAAACAGATTGAATCTTAGGCTAAACAGATGGAATAATATGGGTAAACAGAGAGAATTTAAGGCTAAACAGATTGAATCTTAGGCTAAACAGATGGAATAATACGGCTAAACAGATAGAATCATACTGCTAAACCGATGGAATGATACTACTAAACAGAGGGAATGATACTGCTAAACAGAGTGAATCCTACTGCTAAACAGAGGGAATCATACTACTAAACAGAGGAAATCCTACTGCTAAACAGAGGGAATCATACTGCTAAACAGAGATATTCATACTGCTAAACAGTTGGAATCATACTGCTAAATAGAGGGAATCATAAGGCTAATCAGAGGGAATCATACTGCTTAACAGAGGGATTCATACTGCTACACAGATGGAATCATACTGCTAAACAGATGGAATCATACTGCTAAACAAATGGAATCATACCGCTAAACAGATGGAATGATACTGCTAAACAGAGGAAATCATACTGCTAAATAGAGGAAATCATTCTGCTAAACAGAGGAAATCATACTGCTAAACAGAGGAAATTATACTGCTAAACAGATGGAATAATACTTCTAAACAGGAAATCATACTGCTAAACAGATGGAATCATACTGCTAAACAGAGGAAATTATACTGCTAAACAGAGGAAATTATACTGCTAAACAGAGGAAATCATTCTGCTAAACAGAGGAAATTATACTGCTAAACAGATGGAATTATACTGCTAAACAAATGGAATAATTCTGCTAAACAGATGGAATAATACTTCTAAACAGAAAACAAAACATAAATAGCATTATACCTTTCTTCCTTGATGTTCTTCATCTTCTTCACATTCTTTTCCACTGTACATATTCTCTTCCAGTAATATTCGTAATTTCTTCACCTTAGGTTTACAGTGTCGTAATTCATAGTAGTTATGTATCGTGGAGGTTACCTACAGTTAACAATGTTTTTTTCACATTAAATGATTTCATTCATCTTATCTTTGTATTACCCTAGACTTCAAAGCTCTGGTATATAACTGGTTACATCACTGAAGTCTCATCAAACTTTCCCTTTATTTCTAAAAGAAATACATTGACATCTGACAAGACTGCAAAAGTCTTAAAGTGACCTCAATATCTTATGAATAATACATGTATATGTCTTTTGTTTTTTTGTGTAGTTCGGTTTCTCAAATCTTATATGTGTATACCCCAATATCTCATTTTATTCATACAGAAAATTGAATATTTCTATCTTTTGAACTCGATAACAGAATTATTTTCATATACATGATATAAATTATTTATGTTTCAAACATATTTGTCTGGTGCAAAACTAATAATCAGACTGTTCTTTGCAATTCATACACCCCAATTTGATAATATAAGTTTACCTGTCTGATATTAAGTTCCTGACCCAGACTATCACCATCTAAATCTTGACCTGTTTTAAGTTGTGGTATAATTAACATGGAATTAGATATCTCTGCTTCCTTGATGTCGTATGTTTTGTCCTTCGTACATAACACAGCCATTTCATCTTTGTCTCCACGTATCACAAGTCTAAAAAAAAGCCAGGTCAATTAGAGATACTGTTTATTTCATGACCTCATGCTTTTCATTCATTTGATGTGTTGAGCTTTTGATTTTGCCATTTGATAAAGGACTTTCCGTTTTGAATTCTACTTGGTGTTCAATATTTTGGCCATTTAACTATTTCAGATAGACAAAAAACTAGTTTAAGAGTTCCTGATAACATAGATAATTTCCAAGTGCAAATGCTAAAAAAAAAAAAAACACAAAATACATATGCTTGAGAAATTGTCACAAGGATAATTTATTCCAATAAACAGTCTATTATGACCTGTTGTCAGGTCATTAAAGATTGCATATTTTGGCTTTAATATTGATTCACTTATAGGGTCTTTGCATCGGAATCCAACATATTTATTCTAAAACCAGTTGTTGGCATGACACGGGTTATGTTCTTCTCATATATTTTATGATGGTATAATACTAAACCCCTAACAGGAGGGATTGTGCCTGATATTCATGTGATGAAGACATAATCTTTCAATCAGTTTAATTGAGGTCTGGAGCTGGCATGTCAGTAACTGCTAGTAGTCTGTTGATATTTATGTATTATTGTCATTTTGTTTATTTTCTTTTGTTTCCTATTCTGACATCGGACTCAGACTTCTCTTAAACTGAGTTTTACTGTGCATACTGTTGTACGTTTGTTTTTTCTACATTGGCTAGAGGTATGGGGGAGGGTTGAGATCTCAAAAAACATGTTTAACCCCGCCGCATTTTTGCGCCTGTCCCAAGTCAGGAGCCTCTGGCCTTTGTTAGTCTTGTATCATTTTTAATTTTAGTTTCTTGTGTATAATTTGGAGTTTAGTATGACGTCCATTATCACTGAACTAGTATACATATTTGTTTAGGGGCCAGCTGAAGGACGCCTCCGGGTGCGGGAGTTTCTCGCTGCATTGAAGACCCATTGGTGGCCTTCGGCTGTTGTCTGCTGTATGGTCGGGTTGTTGTCTCTTTGACACATTACCCATTTCCATTCTCAATTTTATATTGACAGTTACATCATGTGACTAGTTTTAAATATTGCTTTGCAGATAATTTTTGCTGTCTATAGTTTAATAAATACATGTTTAATAGTTTCATTTAAGGGCAATAATTCCTATAAGGATTCAACTAATGATTGAACAATTGAAGTCATATTGGTATGTAATTTTGTGAGTGTTGTAGATTTGGATACCAATCATTGCAATCTAAGATTGCAAAATACTCCATATCATCCTGACATGTACTGCAATTCCATTTCATTTTGACCCAAAACATGTTTTTAATGCAAATTTTACATATAGAATCAGTTTGGAATAATATATTATAACTATATATGAATTTTCATTGTAATCCTAGCACAGAAAGAAGTTTCACAAAATTTATGATAAAATTTGTGATTTTTAAACAAAAAGTAAGTTTTTTCCTAAAATTAATGAGCACAATTTCACCAAAATATTTTGCGTTTATAAAAATTGTTGACGAACAGATGAAAGATGTATAAAGTGAAAATTATAGGGCTCCCCCATCCTCGATGCGGGGCCCCAATATCGCCAGAACTAGGTGTTACTTACTCATCACCAATTTTTATAGTATTTAGAATGCAACTATCCACTTCCATAAGTTTGAAGGCATCATTGTCCATTTGTGAAGAGAAATATATACTTTGTATTGATGGCTTCACCTCAGATTTATCTAACTTGGCATATTCCATTACTAAGTTGATATCTTGAAGTGTTCTAAAGAAAATTCAAATAGGTAAATCAGGATGCCTAATATAGTGTACACAGAAATGTATCATTCAGCTGGGATTCATTAAATTAAAGTGAAATATCTTTAACAAAATTTTTTATTTTTTTATCAAATGAATTTACAAATTACAGATAAATATTCTTTCACTTTGAAGGTAAAACACATGTGAATATTATACAGAAAAATATTTAACTTAACAAAATACATGTATGATCTCATTTTACAAAATTTAATTTTGTTTACAATACAAAAACCAATACAGATAAACACATATCTTTAAATACTGTTCCTATGATGTGGCATGTATGTGAATTTTGGACAAATAGTAATACAGAAAAACATAAATAAATATATACATGTTCAAAGTCCAAAAAAAGATATATATATAAATATATATATACATAATTACTCTGAATATCAGCACAACTTAGATGATTTACAGTACCTTAACATTTTCAGATAAATATAAACATAGTACATGTACATACATGTATACATATTCATTTTCTCAATATTCCATTTACTGACCTTACAACAATGTTCAATGTTTATGTAAAAGTAAACTGTACTAGTTGCATGTGCTGTACATATAGCATTCAAGTTATATGAAGCTATAGCTAATCCAAAGAATTTTGAAAGATGGCCATGAAAAAAAATATATCTAAATTATTTCAATGATTATTTCATCTTATTTTACCAACATTTTAGACCAAAGCACTGTTAAAAGTAATGATTGCTTTGATTATTTAATAACTTATTAAAATGAGGTCAAGGCCATAGCCAATTTTCAGATGACTTGTATTTGCATTTGTACTGGTTACAATAAATCCAATTACCAAATGTTGTAGACCCAGTAAATATGAACAGACCTGCATTTTTCTTAAAATTTGGCCTTATGTATAAACATGAAGAAATACTCATACAACATGTACAACTGTACAAAAATATATGTCAAAGCTTATACTTATTACATTAGCCAGACTTATAAAAAAGTATACTTATCACAAGAAATATACAAACCTACTATTGTTATAAACCTATATATTATCAACAACAAAAACCTTAAGTTTGTATTCCTGAAAATTTAACCTGACCACTGGTAAGTAAAAAGTGAGGTCAAGCCATCAAGGCCATATGACATGTCAAGCTAACATATATTTTTTAAAACAAATGCATAAACCATATATTGTTGATTTATGACATTTGTACAAACAAACCCACATTCTGTATTCCTGTAAAGTTAATCGGACTGCTAAAATCAAAGTGAGGTCCAGGCTGTCTAATGTATGACTTGTTACAATAAATTCACACACATGCACATACATGTACCAAAGCTTGTAGACCATAACAATTCATGCATAGTTCCAAATGGCAAATACTAGTGACATGTAAAGCATTATTGAAATTGGAGGAACAGACCAAATCTTAACCTAACTACTTAAGCATACATACATGTATATAATGGTGCTACATATAAAATGACAATTACAGACTGTAGATATTGTCATACGTGTATCAAACATCCATACAAATGTTTATTCACCTTTATCATGTTTATGAAAGAACTTGTTTAAGATGAGACAAAATTTGTATGAAATTTTTTAAAAAATCAAGAAATTATTTGAAATTTGTACATGATGTATTAAACATCTATATCATACGAGTTTGACTTTTGTAAGACAAGATATTTCAGGGCTTATATTTCCTATAAAGACCTCCATGATAGAGGGTTGCTGCTTTAATACATGGAAGATATTGAACCAAAGTAAAGTGATAAATGGTAAACTTAAATTCATCCCTTTAAAAGTTTTACAGACATCATAATTTAATTGACTACAATGGAATGGATGACTGTCTCACAGACATGACAGATGACCATGACTATGTTCTATATGTAGTAGTCACAATACTATTCTCTTTTCCTTGATTGCGACATCTGCCAATGCTACTTATCACTGAATTCTTACTAGCAAATAAGTAACACTGATGGAATAGGAACTACTAACCCTTCTGGAGTACCTGTGTTCACCCCAGTTCTTGGAGAAGTGCTCAATGTTAACACTGATGGAACAGGAACTGCTAACCCTTCTGGAGCACCTGTGTTCACCCCAGTTCTTGGAGAAGTGCTCAATGTTTGTTTTCCGTGTAGTGTTTTGTGGACTTGTCTATTTGGTCATGGAATTGTCTGCTTTTTCTTTAGTTATGATGTTTTAAAAAATATATTGCCCCTTCGTATTGTCTTCCTCTTCTTTGTAAGAATAAAATTATATTTCTCCCTTTATTTTCTTGAAAGTTTTAATCTTGAAGAAATACTTACACACTTGTTTTCATTGGAGTTTGTGTTGTTCAGTCTTTAGTTTCCTATGTTGTGTTTTGTGTACTGTGATCATCAGATAATATACATTGTACATGTGATGTGGTATGAATTCAAGTGAGACAACAATTAACCAAATGATAAAATAAAGAGATGCGCCATGAGCGCATGATACACCCGACGCTTTTTCAAAGAATAAAGTTCCATAACTCTTCAATGTCAAATCAGAAATTTATAAAAAAAAACTAAAGGGAGGTTATTTTAATAGATATAAACCAGTCACCAAAGTTTCATGAAAACTCAGCTCACAGCTCAAAGCACTTTTGAGTTATTGTCTGAAAACTGGAAAATCCCCCTTTTTTATGAATAAAATCTCATAACTCAGAAACGTTAAATCTAATATTTATAAAAATCAAAAGGGAGCTTACATCAACATATATAAACTAGTCACCAAAGGTTCATGAAAACTGTGCAAAGCATTTTTGAGTTATTGTCTGAAAACTGGAAAATCCCCTTTTTTGATGAATAAAACCCCATAACTCGGAAACATAAAATCTAAAATTTATAAAAATCGAAAGGGAGCTCACATCAATAGATATAAACAATTCACCAAAGTTTCATGCAAATTAGTTAAAGTGTTTTTTAGTTATTGACTGACATGTTGACAACAGACAGACGGACAACTCAAACCCATCCTAAAATATAAAAGTTCTGAAATAACTGTCAAGTAGTTAACAAACATGTAGAGGAAAACAATTTTGTAAACAGTAACTACTGGACTACATGCTCCTGACTTTGAGACAGGTACATAAAGAATTACAAATGTAGGTTCTTTCAAGAAACAAGTATAGGAATCTACTTATAAAACTATATTAATATATTCTATGCTATATCATATGCATATTACAAAACAATCACACTATTGCTACTTTACCTGATGTCTGGAATCTCATTCCTTTAATAAAATAACATAAAATAAAGCATAATTCATAAATATGGGGCTATTATGATTGATTTAAAAAAGTTTATTCTTTAAAAATCTTTTATGCTAAGCCTTTCTGTCATTTCAAACTAGTTTACGTCAGTTATAACCTGTTAATTAATTTTTAACTTAAAGTGATCTATGTCTGCAAATCAGAAATCAAATAAAAATCTATATATATAAAAATAAGGAGATATGGTATGATTGCCAATGAGACAACTATCCACCAGAGTTCAAATGAAGCTTATTTAGCAAATATAGGCAACAGTACGGCCTTCACCTATGAGAAAAGCTCATACTGCATAGTCAGCTATAAAAGTCCCGACATGAAAAATGTGAAACAATTCAGATAAGAAAACGACCTAACTTATAACAAAACAATTTACATAAAACAAAATATGAAAGACACTTGAGACATGAACCAATGACAATCACTGAACTACAGACTCCTGACTTGGGACAGGCACATAAAGAATGTAGCAGAGTTAAACATGTTTATAATCGATCCCCCTAACCTGGGACAGTGGTACAGTCGATTCCGGTTATTTGCATAGCCTATTTGACAAAATTATGCAATTAAGTGGAGTATGCTTAGTATATCCGAAATGCCAAATTACGGAGTCAAATACAACACCACATGTACATGTACAACATAAGAACAAACTGTAAAACAGTAGCAATTGGCTTAACTCAAAAGATCTTTACAAGGCACAAAAACAATTAAACACAACTGTATGATACATGTATCCATCCTTACCCAGTTCCCAAATTTATAAATGATATCTTAACCCTTACCATGCTGAGCCCGTCATATGACGGCATGACCCAGACCACCGTTATTTGGCTCTAATGGCTCTCAATACTTTTAGAGGTCAACTTTATGATACTTATTTCGAAATTGATGCACATTCCCTCAACCTGAGGCTATCTATTGTCATGTTTCTCATGTTTAAGTAGCATTTTGAGCTCAAATACGAACTTGGAAAATTGAAATTGGATAAAACTGGTTTTTCTGGAGGGGTGGGCTTCCCTTCTGTGTCTTACACAGGAAGTTCAGAGGCCTAAAACTTTCAAAAATAGTGTAAACCCGCAGACATATATCTACTGATCATAATTATTATTGAAATATGCAGAGGAAACGACTACTTCCAGTTTCAGGTCCAGTTGAAGTCCAAAATCAGAAAAAAATCGTGAAATTCCGTATTTTTTGTCCAAATGACCTTCTTTAGACTGGTGTTCCCAGATCAGTTTCACTCCAACCTAAGAACTGTTGTGGTTAATGTGTTTACTGGGGTCCACTGTACATGCAGACTACAGATGGATACCTATTTCAGCATCCCTCGGTCTTTGGGGTCAAGTAATAGGACGAAAAATCGTCAAAAATGACGCTTTTTGCACCTGATGACCAACTTTGGGGCACATATTTTAGATTTGACAAACAGTGATGTTGGCATACAACTTGAAATTGTTACACTGTCTGTAAGACACAAATGATGCCCCCGCCTGACCATTGGAAATAATTTTACACTATGTATGATGATCTATGTTTTATTCTTATGCTAAAGGCTACACTTGCAGAACTGAATGTCTAGCCAAAAGCTTTCAACTTTTAAAAATACTGTCGGCTACAAGTTTTTCTTAAATATAAAGCTGTAGCTCCAAAACTGTAGGAGGAGATAGCCGGAAAAACCATGATCTCTTTATGCAGCTAGTACCAAAAAAATGACTAAGTCCAACTACCTGTCATTTTCTGAATATTTAAAAGAAATCAAAATCCTGTGGTCATGCACACCTTCATTATGTGTATGAACATTCTACAAAATATTAAAGTTGTACCTCCAAAACTGTAGGAGGAGACAGCCGCACAAACAATGTATCCTAATCCTGACGGACGGACAGGGGTAAATTAATATGCCCCTCAACATTTTGTTGCCGGGGGCATAATTATCTCAACAGTCAGTAACCTGCTGACATTATTTTTTGAAGTGGTCATTTCTAATAAACTTCTGCTTCTGTCCTTTGGTGGTCACCATTATTAATGCCACTTTTAGTCAAACAAAGGTCGAAGGACTTGTCTTTTCTAGGAGGAGACTTTTCATTTTTGAATTACAAAACTTAAGGACCTCCCATTTTTTACACTGTCAGATGGTTTAAATTTATACAGAATTGATGACTTTCATTTAACTTTCTTCAGGAGGACCTTTTGTTTGATAATTCAAATGGTCCCCAACTTAAATTGTCTAAAGCAAATTTGAACCCCTTGAAGGTGTACATGTGTGCATAATTTGTGAATTTACAAGGAATTTATTATAATAAACAAAAAAAGTCCTGTACAAATCAAATGTGCAAATTGATTTAAATTGAATCAAGTAATAGATATAACAAGAATGTGTCCATAGTACACGGATGCCCCACTCGCACTATCATTTTCTATGTTCAATGGACGTTGAAATTGGGGTCAAAACTCTAATTCAGCATTAAAATTAGAAAGAGCATATCATAGGGAACATGTGTACAAAGTTTCTAGTTGATTGGACCTCAACTTCATCAAAAACTATCTTGACCAAAAACTTTAAACTGAAGCAGGACAGACGGACAGACGAACAGACGTACAGACTGAAAAACATAATGCCCCTAGGTGGGGCATAAAAATAAGAAGATGTGGTAAGATTACCAATGAGAAAACCCCTTGAATGAATCAAGAGTCTTGGCCTTGTCAGTATCAAGTTAGAGCATTCTAGTCACATGTTCCTTTAATAGAACATCTTTGAGCAACTGTGCTGCTGGATGGTACATGCATTCGGAAGGATACTAAATACAAAAATTATGTGTGTTCAATGGCATAAAGAGTCTATCTGACAAATCAAGTCCATTATTATTTTTGTACATCAGTAGTAGTTTTGATCTTACATTGTATATAAACTATACTCTCTCGTCACTTTGCATTTGTAAACTACTGTCATAGAAATTCATGACTGACACTTTTTATTTTCTGACAATTATAGGTACATGTTCATCATATTTGTAGTCATGACCCTCCTCCATATTTATTATTTTTACTAAAAAAAGATCCTATGTTACTGTCCAGATGAAGGTAGCACAATTAAGTTATTTAATGCTGATCATTCAATAGCAATGGTGACAAATTGATTGTATTCTATTGATGGATGGACACAGGGAAAACTGCGCAGCTTTATCTTCATTGTCTTTGAAAGATGTTTGTTTTTTCTGTATCTTTTTACTCAGCGAGGTGGTGGCTCAGGACAATCTCTAATCATATGACCTCACATCAGTAACATTTTCGCCATGAAGAATTTCTCGACTTCTCCTACTGATGGTATCATGTTATCCGATTTTTTATTATTACTAACTGCTTCCCATGGGTAGGGTAAGCATCATTTATTATAGCCTGGGGTCCTGGCTAATCTTGTCAGTATAGCCAGGCGTGTATCAATGTCCTGCCTGTCAATGATTGGTTAATACTAATTTTGTCGCGCAATGTTTGTTTTACATCTGTATCCAATCAATTTTTGTTTAACATCAATTAGTAAAAATTAGACTGTATTTATTTTTCTTTGTGAATTGATGTACAGTGTTATCATATCTAATTATTAGTATGATGATAATTAGTAAGCAGAAAAGGGTTAATTCTTATCAGCAATCAACTGGTGAGAAAGTTAAAAGTTTAAGATTTCACATGACCAAGGTGTGAATTGGATTTCACTTTTACGACCTAATTTACATGTACACATGTATCTCAAAGGCCAAAAAATATATGGAAAAAACCGTAAAAAGTAAAGGCCAACAAAAATTGCAGATATTTTTTTTTGGGGGGTTACATTTCAAATGACATGTACATGTGCGAAGATACACCATCGTACATCTATTTTAAATTATAATTACATTAGACAATTACAATATTTATTAAGTTTGATTTTTTTTATTATAAAGAGTTGTTTCGTTGACTCTTACCCCATATAATCCTTCCTGATAAAATATATATTAAATGTACAACATTTTTCAAAGTTTCTTTTGATTACACATACTAGTATTTATCTATACTGTTTAATATATATTTATTTTATTATAATACTGACAATGGGGACTCGTCAATCTGAGAGCAAAATTTATTGAATCAGAAGCAATGTTTCTTAATCATTGGTTTGAAATCGCTGGTTTACATCAAACATCAAAATTTATGCAAATATTTATTCAGCCTCACTTTAGATTCAGAGTCAACTGGCACTGAATCGATCACGTGGTATTTGTTCCCCACCTGGCCCTTGCGACGTGCAGCTAGATCGGGCCAGGATGCCAGGCTACATTTATTATTTTCAAAAAGACTTATCCCCCAAATGATTACACAATGTATTTAAACTGGTGAAAAGGTCACTCATTTGGTTTCCAAGAAAAATTATTGTCTGAATCAACTGACGTACAAAATGTACTTGCTGTTCGTATTTTGCCAGGTTCCTTTCCCTGACAAGTCAATTAGAATAGCAGCTTTCTTGTTAGGGACGACATCAAAGATCGATGTCGGATAAAAAACTTAATTCAAATAGTTTGGGGGTGGGGGGCTTAAGTTTTGTTATCCGACATCGATTTTCCGATTGAAAACTACGGATTTAAGTTCGGCCCTAACATATATGTTTGGACTTTTAAACCAAATGAATGCCATCAAATCGTACCGGAAAGCTTATTTTTGGCCGAAAGTATTGGGGGGAAATTAATCAAAGTACCTATGTCGTTTAAACACTTTATCGATCATGAATTTTGAATAATATGAAACCATATACAGATCAACAGATTGTTTTGGTCCACATGGCATGGTGGAATTCTAAAAACTAACTATGAAATTTTCTTTGAATTGTGTTAATTATTTAAATTATTAAAATGAAACTGAAATATAAATTCAAATAAAAATTTGAAGATTATATAGAATTTTTTGAGATAGTAGAAAAATATATATGACAGTGGTAAACAGACATTGAATAGAAAGTACATAGATCATATCACATTCACTACATTCATTTGGGATTGTGCTTTTCCCTCTCTCCACAGTTGGCACAAATGCACTGCCCTTTCATCACCATACATTTCAATGGACCACTATTTAATTTAAAGCAATATATTTTATATGAAACAATGAACTGTTTTCAGGGCCTAATCTAGGATTTTTGAGTGAGTGACTTCTCCTTCCATGAGAGAGTTGGGAGAAGTGAAATTCCATTACCCTTTTTTTTGCATAGTGTTTTCATGCACATCATAAAGGGAAAATTGTTTTATTTGTGCAATAAAAAACATACTTGCAGTGTTTTATATGATTATGATATTGAATAAAATGTATGAATTGAAAATTCTTAATAAAAAGGTTTAGACAATGTAATTGTTATTTATCCATTCAACCTTTTGTGCTGTCAACTTGAAATTAAGTTTGTTGCTTGCCTAGTAATATTATCATGCATTAATCCCATGTGCATCTGATTCAATTTTTTTTTATAAAGTTCAGAAAAATTTGACTCCCAGTTTATGTGATGACTTTTTAATGATTGGGCAATTTAATGTTTATCATCACGTCATAATTTTGTAAAATATTGACTGTCCAGGACATCATGTCAGCTGTAAGTTGAGAATCTCGTGAAAGATTCTAAGCCTATATATTAATGAAAATATTTATCAATTACATTTTAATTAATCGATAAAGACCTAATTTTTTATTATTTTGTTATAAAAGATATATCCCTCATTAACAATTTGGTCGTGAAAAACCCACTTCTGACCACAAGCGTGTTGTACGTTTGCAATCAACTTATCCATTAGCTGTCTTTATACCTTTTATGTTTCAATTTTTAATCAAAGAATATATAAAATCTTCCGTTCATTCCCACCCTTATCCTACCGAATAGTAAAATTGATCGTCTCGTGATAAAAAGAAAACAAATCAGCTGAGTGATTACGCAACATCCTCAGATGAAAATCATCGTAAAATGATGACTCAAATAGGCGCTCGGTTTCTCGTTTCAATAGTTTTGAATGTTAATTTCATGGATGTATTAAGTCCCTGTTGTATTTATTTCATTTAAACGTCGACAGTATTAGTCCTGGGTCGTATCGAAAATTTTGATTTTCCATGTCGACCGCCATTTTTGTTTACCTGTGAGACTTGTAAAATTCAAGTTGTCTCCCTTTTACCAATTTTTGATAGCAATTTGACTTCGCCAAGTAGTCAGTCGGCCGGCAAGTTTTAGCGATTTTCAAAATTCCTTGGCGACTTAAATCGTCATTTCGCCGGCAAGATTATGGCCTGTGTTTTATATTCATTTGAGAAAAGAAACAAAAACAATCAAAACCATAAACCCACTATTTACATGCCAATAGTGGGCAGATGAAAAATGCAGAATCCATTCTGACTGTAGTGTTTATAAAATTATAATTTAACAGTCAGTGCCTTTTTTGATGCATACTTAAAATACACATCACTTTTTTCCAATATTTTTTAAAAGTGCTGTCCAAGTCAATATACAGAACAAACATACAATGTACATTGTTGACGAAAAACAGGACCCATGATTCAAAAAGTATACTCTGAAAGCATATGCCCATATTAGTCAATCAATTTTTCCCAAATTAAGTTAAGATGGGGATGGGGGTCAGTGAAAAGGGGGGGGGGGGGGGGGTCAGTGAAAAAACTATATGAATTAAGTTTTTTATCCTACATGTACATTGAACTTTTGATGTCATCCCTTATGTAACAGGACCAGTGCATACACTTTAAAACGAGCACAGAGATAATACGTTGAGCATAAAGCACGAAGGAGAAAACCTGCACATTCGAGACAATTTGTGCCAACAGGCCTTTGAGATTGAGGATCCATCAGCACATTGATGACAAATATATTGGCTCCATTAGAACAACTTAGGTTACAATATCAAAGTTTCTGCATAAAATAATTAGAGGGCGAAAATTGCCGAAATTACACGTATCCTTATTGTGGGTTTTCGTGCTATTAAGAATGCATTGTGTTGTCACAATTTCCATTGAAAAAGCATGCATAGTACGACAGCTTATGATCTGACGATAACTAGTGAATTTAAAACCGTGGGAAACCGGAAGACGTGGACAAAACATTCATTATTTTCATAGACTGAATGGAGATATCATTTTTCATAAGAAAATATACATATTTTTCATTTATGACCTGGTATAACTGCTGTCTGATTCCTGCCCTGACATTTTGATGGTTGGTTTCCTTGCTTTTCACTTGTTGGCGATTGTTGTTTTTCAGAGATGGCGCCAAATTTGCAATTTAGAGAACCAAAGTCGGGCAAATTTTCCGGAAATTGCTTTCCTCTCCAGGAATATACAAACGGGCATTAAGCGGTATCTTTTTGTAATCAAAGTTTGTCCATACCCTTGACCATCTCTGGCGACTAATTTATTTTTTGACTCGATAAATATCCTTTTAGATAAAGGTTCTAAATCTATAGAAAATTATACAATTATTAGAGAGAAAATTTAAAATACAAAACAAACAAAACTTGGGGAAAAGTATAGAAAACAAAGAAATTTGGAAACACTTGAAATTAAAAGTAAGTATATGAAATGGTTATGTCTGACCAGTTAACTGAATTTTTTGAAAATATATTTCATGATTTTTTTATGTGCATTAGAGAAAACGTCATGGATGTCAGACAACTCTGTCTCTGACGAGACTCCTCAGTCAAGTTGAACATGTTGAAGATTGGAAAGATTTGATAAAAACAGCCGGTATGTGGTAGCAATACTTATGGATTTTTCGAAAGCTTTTTACTGTCTAACACATGACATTCTTTTAAGTAAATTATCTGCCAATGGTCTTTCTTCAAAATTATCTTACAGATCGTAGGCAACAAATTAAACGCACTAGTTGGGGTGACAACCAGAAAGGTGTACCCCAAAGTTCCATCCTGGGACCTTTATTATTTAATATTTTTATAAATGACATACTCTATTTATTGAATATGGAACCATTACACAAAAAATAAGATAATTTAGATGTATATAAATGTTTGGAGAAGTATTTATCTAAAAATCTGGAGATAAGGAGAAGTTCAAAGATAATAAACGCAAATTAACCACAAATATACTTATTTTGAGTGGTATATTTTATAGATGTTATTTGTATTATCTGGTTCTGTCCTGACTTAAAAGTCTTTATAATATAACAGTTATTATAAAAGTGTTGTTTTCTTTTATATTTCTCAATTTATGTCTAATCTTATGTATTTGTATGTAATGTGATAAAAGCTCTTTATAGGGCACTTTAACTTGGAAAATAAAATATTCTTATTCTTATTCTTATTCTTATTCTTATACGATTCGGCGATAATACTCCATCATATGTTCCTGATGATTTATGGCATTGTATTTATAATTGTTTTAGGGAAGGTTAAAATAGGTAGACCATTCACGCCCATGCAGGTTGAGGAACTGGGTAAGCAATTACATTAATATGTGCCAATCTGTGCTAAATGTTCTCCTTTACACCATTACTCATGATGGTGCTCCTTTAAAAGAAGGAATATACAGAGCATACATTACATGAACATTTAAACCAAAAAAAAAAAAAAAACAATAATCAAACATACATACAAAGGACCTACCAGACCACGTAGACTATGATACTTACCTATTTGCGAACGACACTCAGATGTTTACAATAATTAGATATCATTGAGATGGGAGCCATCTCTGTGGGCCCCGCTGTGAATAATGTGTGGTAAAAACTGATTTGTATCCGTTTATCATTGGACAGGGTGTTGTCAACTGAAACCAAAGTTTTTGACCTTGACCTTTGACCTTGGAAGTTGTACATAAATTCTGACACACCCTCTGGTTTTGGTTTATATACATGGCAAGAATAAATTTTGAAATCATAACGGTTCTCAAGATATAGAGCGGACACGATCTTTACCATAGGACATGGGGTTGTCAACTTAAACCAAAGTTTTTGACCTTGACCTTTGACCTAGGAAGTTGTACATATATTATGACACACCCTCTGGTGTTGGTTAATATACATGTCAAGTATAAACTTTGAAATCATAACGGTTCTCTAGATAAAGAGCGGACACAATTTGTTACGGACGGACAGACTGACAGACTGATCACTATAGGGCGTCATTAAAGAACCAAGCGACAGAAATATTGAAAAACATAGAAACGTGGAGTGATAAATAGCTATTGAAATTTCATCCGAAAAACGTAAGCACATGAAAATATGCAGGAAAGCAGGGGTGTGTTTTATTGGTCTCTTCTGTACATTTTCAGAATGTCTTCTGGTGAAGAGTCCAAAAAAATGAATATGGACCTCTTCTTGAGATATTCTGTTTATTAGAAAATAAATATAAGTCAGTTTCGATTCGGTAGACATTGGTTGTCGTTTGTTGCTGTGTAACATATTTGTTTTTCGTTCATTATTTTGTACATGAATTAGCCGTTAGTTTTCTCGTTTGAATTGTTTTACATTTGTCATTTCGGGGCCTTTTATATCTGACTATGCGGTATGGGCTTTGCTCATTGCTGAAGGCCGTAGGATGATCTATACTTATTAATTAATTTCTGTGTCATTTAGTGGAGAGTTGTCTCATTGGCAATTATACCTCATTTTATTTTTTTTAAATGACTGTAACATTGTGCTCTGTTTTGGCATATTGATGTAATTATATAATAAGTGTCTGACTAACAAAGAAAATTGGTTGGAAGAAATCGCTGTGTTCGGGATATTTTTTCTTTATGCTTTCCTAACTCAATTTTGCTAAACAAATTCGGCTTAAAGCCCTGACCATTTATATCTGGAATAATCCTAAACTGTACAAGAATTTGTCAATGTTTGTCTGGTAAATGATCGAAAAAGGATATCTTGTCTATTAATTTTTTTTTAAAGTAACCAAACTGGATTATTTTTTTATAAAGCAAAGATATCGCAGAGTTCTCAAAATCTTGTTTTCCCTGGTGGTCCTTGAAGAACATCTACTGGTCCTAACTATTATTTAAATTGCAAAGTTTTGATGTTCAATATCACCAGCCCAGTAGTCAGCACTTCTGTGTTGACATGAATTATCATTGATATGGTCATAATTATAAATTAACTGTTTACAAAACTTTGAATTTTTGAAATACTAAGGCCTTTAATTTCTACCCCAGGAATAGATTACCTTAGCTGTATTTGGCAAAACTTTTAGGAATGTTTGGTCCTCAATGCTCTTTAACTTCGTACTTTATTTGGCCTTTTTAACTTTTTTTTATTCGAGCGTCACTGATGAGTCTTTTGTAGACAAAACGCGCGTCTGGCGCAAATACAAAATTTCAATCCTGGTATCTATGATGAGTTTATTTCGGACCACCACTTTTCGAAAACCTTAATTGTATATGCATGTATAAAAGGTATACAAGGTCATTGCGTTTCTCAGACTGTTTATGACTTAATCCGTTGGTTGTGTACTTATTGATACTTTAGTCTGGGAGAACAAGATTTATTTCAGTGATACTAGTAGCTTTGAACTAACTTTCAGTAACTGCAAATACTCTTATTTTGTTACTTTGTGTCTATTGTCTTAATGTTAGTTGTTGTTTTTTTTGTGTGTCTCGTACCGATCTTTTGAGTTAATCTAATTGCAACTTCTTTTTACAGTTTGTTCTTATGTTATACGGTTACACCACTGTCCAAGTTTAGGGAGGGTTGAGCGCTCACAAACATGTTTAGCCCTGCCATATTTTTTAATGCCTGTCCCAAGAGCCTGTAGTATAGTAGTTGTCGTTGGTTCATGACTGTCGACTCATATTTGATTTTTATGCCCCACCTAGGGGCATAATGTTTTTCGGTCTGTGCGTCCGTTCGTTCATTTGTTTGTCCGTCTGTCCGTCCGTTCGTCCTTCTGTCCTGCTTCAGGTTAAAGTTTTTGGTCAAGGTAGTTTTTGATGAAGTTGAAGTCCAATCAACTTGAAACTTAGTACACATGTTCCCTATGATATGATCTTTCTAATTTTAATGCCAAATTAGAGTTTTTATCCCAATTTCACGGTCCACTGAACATAGAAAATGATAGTGCGAGTGGGGCATCCGTGTACTATGGACACATTCTTGTTTGTAAATTGTTTTGTTATATATAATTAAGCCGTTAGTTTTTTCGTTTGTTTCACATTTTTTATGTCGGGGTCTTTTATAGCGGATTACACGGTATGGATTTTTGTCATTGCCGAAGGCCATACGGTTACCTTCTTCATTTGAACTCCGGTGGATAGTTACCTCATTGACAATCAAACCACATCTCCTTATTTTCATATTACATACCTGACTTTTAAACTCGTATTTTCCTGAACATGCATGAAATATTTGTCACTGGACGTTAAAAATAAGCAACCAACAATCAATCAATTTAAACTTGTGTTAAATAAGGGGAAATCCATTTGATATTCATTTTTATTTTTATGATGTCTTGGGCAACAGGGGGATTTTAAATATGAATATGGTGGCCTAATAAGAGCTTAAAAAAGGCACAATTATCGTCAGATTAAAATGAATAATAAATCCGCAAAAAATCCTCCTGCCCCTCCCCCTCCCCAGAATATCAAAAAGTCGTCTACCTACTGTTCTGTCCGTGTAGTTCTTATATTAACCCAGCTTATCGTCCCTACTGGGATGTCCTAATAAGGCTGCCATACCATAAAAACGTTTATCACACAGCTCACATTCTATTAAATCTGCATTCATAAATGTATTAATTGTAATTATGAATAAGCGACGCCATGTTTATTATGTGCCTCTGCCGTCTAAACTACCTATTTAAAAGGAAGAGATAGAAGAGAGCCAGAAGATCTTCCCAATGCAAAAAAAAAAAACAAAAACAGAAATGGACCTCTTCTGGCTCACTACCGAAGAACAAAAAAACACGCCCCAGATAACAAAATGGAACAGATCCTGTAACAAATGTGTAACACGTTTTCTACATGTACATGTTTTTTTTAATATCATTCTTGTATTTTGATATTTCAATGAACTAAAGCAATGGGAAAATAAACAGCAATCAAAAATCTAGATTCAGAAACGATAACTAAGATTGATTGATTGTTGGTTGCTTAACGTCCAGTGGCAAACATCTCATACATGTTCAGGACGTTAACAAATTAACAATAAATACAATACGTAGGTCCTGTAATAAGAAGCCGTTCGGGATGAAGGTCTGCCACGAGAAAATGATTGTATATTGGACAGGGGCTGAAATTTAGCCTTGCAACTGACCACCTACGGAACCCTCAGAGAGTT